CCCAGTCCAGCCACACCAGGAATTTGGGTGCGTCGGGATGTTTATTTCCTTCTTTGTTTGAGACGGAGTCTCGCTCTGTCGCCCAGGCTGGAGTGCAGTGGCCGGATCTCAGCTCACTGCAAGCTCCGCCTCCCGGGCTCACGCCATTCTCCTGCCTCAGCCTCTTGAATAGCTGGGACTACAGGCGACCACCGCCACGACCGGCTAATTTTTTGCGTTTTTAGTAGAGAGGGGGTTTCACCGTGTTCGCCAGGATGGTCTCGATCTCCTGACCTTGGGATCCACCTGCCCCAGCCTCCCAAAGTGCTAGGATTACAGGCATGAGTCACCGCGCCTGACTTTTTTTTAATAAAATGTTTCACATATTACCAAATCCAGCCAACCAATGCACTCATAACAGATTCAGAGATTAAAAAATATATTCCCGATAAAACATGTCCAACTCTTCAGATAGGGATGACATTTTCAGCTTGATATGGTAACGTGACTGTGACCTTATTAGCAGTTTTTATGCGAATCCACTGGGGAATAGAACAATTTTGCTTTTGTTTCTTGGCCAAGACTCACCTAATTCTGAAAGTCTTGTGAGAAGACATGGCAAGAAGCGAAATCAAGCACACACTATGATGACGGAGAGAGGAGAAGGGGCTTGACTTTTTCTTTTTTTCAGACTAAGTTTCTTTCTTTGCTCCCAGGCGGGAATGCAATGGTGCGATCTTGGCTCACTGCAACTTCCGCCTCCTGGGTTCAAGTGATTCTCTTGCCTCAGCCTCGCGAGTAGCTGGGTTTGGTCAAAATATAAACTGGAAAGGCAGGAACGTGGCCAAAGGTGGGGAACATGAGTGTTATTACCATATTCCTGCTTGACCTTTACTGCCAACGCCAACACAAATGGTCAGAGGTCCCTTATGTGAAAATCTTCATGATCTTGTGGGAAAACCCTGATTTTTGTAAAGGCTGCAAAATAGGCTCAAAAATAAATAAATAAAATTTTAAAAGGGCCAGTTGCAGTGGCTCATGCCTGTAATTCCACCACTTTGGGAGGATGAGGCAGGTGGATCAACTGAGGTTAGGAGTTCAAGACCAGCCTGACCAACATGGAGAAACCCCCTCTCTACTAAAAATACAAAAATTAGCCAGGCATGGTGGCAGTCACCTGTAATTCTAGCTACTCAGGAGGCTGAGGTAGGAGAATTGCTTGAACCCAAGAGGCAAAAATTGCAATGAGCTGAGATCACACCACTGCACTCCAGCCTGGGTAACAAGAGCAAGACTCCATCTCCAAACAAAAAAATAAAATAAAATAAAAAATCAATACATAAAAATACAAAAATTAGCGTGGTGTGGTGGCATGCATCACTATTCACAGATACCCAGGAGGCTGAGGCAGGAGAATTGCTTGAATGCAGGAGGAGGAGGTTCCAGTGAGCCGAGATCATGTCATTGCATTACAGCCTGGGGGATAAGAGCAAGATTCCACCTCAAAAGATAAAGATAAACATAAAAAACAGGCTGGGTAAAGTGGCTCAAGTCTATTGGCCAGGCTGGTCTCAAACTGCTGACCTCAAGTGATCTACCTGCCTTGGTCTCCCAAAGTGCTAGGATAACAGGCATGAGCCACTACGCCTGGCCCATTCTTCTTAACATTAACACTTTTTATGTCAATTAATGCTTGAACTCAATGTTAAGTCAACTCAAACTCAAGTCAAAGTTGAATTGACTCTAATGTCAATTAAAGCTTTATGATTGTTTATGTTCATTTTATTTGGAGTAATTGTCTCAAAAATGAATTTTCTGATGTTCTGCATGGAATGACCACAGACTGAAGACCTTGCCACCCTTATGACGTTGGTAAGATTTCTGTCCAGTATGGATTCTCTGATGTCTACATCATGGATTCGCTGATGAACTACAAGTTATGAACGATGTCTGAAAAATTTGCCACATTTATTACATGTGTAGATCTCACTTCACTATGGATTCTCTAATGATTTGCAATGACTGTAGCATTATTGAGGACTTTGTGAGAATCATTATATTTGTAAAGTTTCCCTACACCATGGATAGCTTGGTGGTGAATAAGTGTTGACTGCCTAGTAAAGGCTTTGCCACATTCATTACACTTGTAAGGTTTCTCGCCAGTATGAACTATCTGATGTTTTGCAAGGTTTGTTTTTTGATTAAAAACCTTGCCACATTCATTACACTTGTAAGGTTTCTCTCCAGTATGAACTCTCTGATGTTGTGCAAGGCTTGTTTTTTGATTAAAAGCCTTGCCACATTCATTACACTTGTAAGGTTTCTCTCCAGTATGAACTCTCTGATGTTGTGCAAGGTGTGCTTTTTGATTAAAAACCTTCCCACATTTATTACACTTGTAAGGTTTCTCTCCAGTATGAACTCTCATATGGTTTGCAAGGTATGAATCACTCCGGAAAGCCTTGTCACAAACCTTACATTTGTATGGTTTCTCACCAGTGTGAATTCTCCTATGTCTTTCAAGGTGTGATTTGCGACTGAAAACTCTGTCACATTCTTTACATTTGTAAGGTTTCTCTCCAGTATGAAGTCTATGATGACGTGCAAGGTTTTCTCTTCTACTAAAAACCTTGCCACATTCATTACATGTGTAAGGTTTCTCTCCAGTATGAAGTGTATGATGGTATTGAAGGGATGACTTCCGACTGAAACTCCTGCCACATTTATTACACTTGTACGGTTTCTCTCCAGTATGAACTCTGTGATGTACTGCAAGGTATGAATCACTCCGGAAAACCTTGTCACAAATCTTACATTTGTATGGTTTCTCTCCAGTATGAATTCTCCTATGTCTTTCAAGGTGTGATCTGCGAATGTAAACCTTGCCACATTCTTCACATTTGTAAGCTTTCTCTCCAGTGTGAAGTCTATGATGGCACTGAAGGGATGTCTTCTGACAGAAGGTCTTGCCACACTCATTACACTTGTAAGGTTTCTCTCCGGTATGAGTTGCCTTATGAATTACAAGGGCTGAATGTCGACCAAAGGTCTTGCC